TCATCCAAATCACTCAAATCATCAATATTTTCATCAATATCATAGAGTGAATCAGAATTAGAATGTTCTTCAACTCTAGAGGCAGGGGCTTGTTCTTCAACTAAAGGGGACTGCTCTTCAACTAAAGGGGGCTGATTTTGGTTTAAATCCCTATTTTCATTTTCATCAAATGGTTGAGATGAAGACACATCAGCCCTATCTATTTGTGGGGAGGATGACAGATCAGCCCTATTTTTGTGTGGGGAGGAGGACACATCAGCATTATTTTGTTGTGGAGATGAGGACACATCAGCATTAGTGCTAGGCAATACAAGTATCTCCTCTACAACTAAAGGTATACTAATGGGATGTACAACATATACATCAACAAAATCAGCACCCTTCAAACCATTCAGAAAGTTTAAAACATCAGAATCAGTATTTAACATGTAAAAAGTACCCTTCTTGTTGACTCTACATCCAAATGTCTCAACATTTTCAACACCCAATTCCATTGCTATTTTATGAAATAACATAATATGCAACTCATCTACATCTATATTAATCTTTTCAACACTACTGATTCCATTGACATACCTTAAAGTAGGATTAGATACAAAACAGCCCCATAGTGAAATTGAAGTGTCACTATAGTTAAAGCCATTACCTTACGATGCCTGTAAAGTAAAAAAAGAATAACTACAGTTAAATCATAAACTTACCATGACTGTAACACAAAAATCCCTAATTATTTTAAGGAAATAATGAATTGTTGTAACAGTTAAAGCCATTAACTTACCATGACTGTAATTGCTGTAATAATGCTCCACTAACACTATCAATACCCAAGACAATTGACCAGAAATAAAATATTATTTTTTGTCGAAATTGGGATTTTACGAATAAACCCTAGAATCTACTCGAATTCACGAAATATGCCATTGAAGTCACTCAAAGTCATACATCAACTAAGAAAGCATATTACACTAATATTACATCCAAACCAAAGTAAAATCCCCAAAAAATTTCAGAAAATTGAATGACAATCGACCCTAAAATCAAACAGATACATGCGAGAAAATGAAAAAGATCAGAACTAACGCAAAAGACAAGAACTTACAACGAAAATCGGAGTGGAATTGAGCTTCAACTGAGCGAAGGTTTGGAAAATCACAGACGAACGTCGCGGAGAGGAGAAGAGAAAAGGAGAAGTGTAAAAGTCGCGAAGGTTTGAAAATTTTCGCCGGAGTTAGGACTATTCTTAGTTTAAGGTGAGTCATTTGCCAAGTGGAATATAATATCATACATGGAGTAAAAAAAAAAATTCTTTTTGGCCAACGTGTACGTGTTTGTGCAACACGCTCCATACCACATCAAAAAAAGTGTTTAAAATGTTGGGTTTGGATGGGTTCAGGGGTCCAGATGACAAAAGGGTAAGTAGAAGGGTTCACAATACAAACAGATACAAGTAAAAGGATCCACCAGATCATTCTGCCTATTTAATATTATGACTAACTTTAATATTACTTGGTTACTAACCTTTAAAAAACTGAAAAAGCAATTTTGTTATTTTGTGAAGAAGGAGAAAGATTGCAATGATGTATATATCACTGAAGGAATGGATTTTCATGTCAATTCAAATTTTGTTCAAATTTAAATTTAAATATCATATCAGTTTGTTGCTACAATAGATAAGATTTTGAAATACCATTGATGTGTGCACTCGATTTCCTTATTCTTTAGCCCATTATTATAAAAAAAAAATTACTAAAACTTCTTCATCCAGAATTTTAATTGAGAAATCAATAGAAATAAATAACTACAATAATAATAACAATAATAAATAGGATACTCACCTTATGAAACTTCTGCATATATTGTGGGACAACATTTGTACTGATTTTGGAGAATCATGTCGTTGCATATGGCAACATAAATAAAAACATATGAATCAGAAAGCAAATTCGATGACAATTTTAAGCAGAGATAACAAATTTGAATCTTTTGAAAATACTTACAGAGAAATTTTGATAATATTATTGTTGAATGTGGGCATACAAACTAAATTTAACCCGAATAAAAAGGCAGTTTGTAAGGGATAAGATTAGTAATTTTGTTTTTTCACAACATGGAAGTTATTTTAGACAGTTTTTTTTTTCTAACTAATTTTGTTTCCGTTTCTTTGTTTAGGCCTTAGGGATATAGATTTTTGTAAAAAAATAAAGAAATCAATTCAAAATAATTTATAATCTGATAACTACTGCAAGTTTAAATTTGAATTCAAAATTAGACATGTATGCATCGTGTTCTTTAGTTTTTATTTGTTTTGCTAAGTCCAATTAAATAAGAAACCACAAACGGTTTCAATTCAAATTTAAAATTAACTACAGTAATTTTAATAATTTATTTATATTTATAACATCTTTCTCAATTTATTTTATTTTATATTTGAAAACTGTGTGTGAAAATTTTTGTTACTATTTTTAAAAATAGGCATAAAAAGAAAATCGTAAAAATGTTTTTCTTTTCATGATTTGAAAACAAATTAAATAATGTATCTATAAAAAACTTTTTAAAATTGTTTCAAATCAAATGAATAGGGTTTGCTACTGCTTAAAAGTAAATGCATGTTCTATTATGTTTACAATTTTATTTAGTTTTCAAAAGAAACTGGCAAAATTAAATTAACAATCAAAACTGAAATTTTTATTTTTATTTTTCAGATTTTAATAAATATCTTATTAATATTTTGTTGATTAATTTTTAGAGTTTGTATATAAGTTGGAATGTAGTATGAAGTTTTAAAACTGCATTTAAATTCTTACTGTGTTTTAAAATATTAATAAAGAAATATGGCAAAGTTTATAAATTTGGTTTTTAAAAAAATATTGAATATTTCCTAGATTAAATGGTTTTTTAAAAAAAAATTAAAAAGTTATATATTGAGGACATATGGAATTGTCGTTTTAATTTTGAAAAAAGTTTATAAATATGTTTTTTTTTAAATATTGAATCAGTGGTATATTAAAAAAATCATTTATGGCAAAGTTTATAAATTTGTTTTTTTTTAAATATTGAATATTTCCTAGATTAAATGGTTTTAAAAAATAATAATTTAAAAGTTATATATTGAGGACATATGGAATTGTCGTTTTAATTTTTAAAAAAGTTTATAAAAATGTTTTTTTTTTAAATAGTGAATCAGCGGTATATTAAAAAAAATCATTTTTTTACTAATTTATAAATTGTATTTTTTTAAAATTAAATTTGTTTTCAAAAATTCTGACAGTTTTTTTAGTGATTGCAATTTTATTTTGTTTTTTAGATTTTTATATTTTAAATTAATTTTAATAATTCATAAATCTTTTTTTGTGGTGCTGGCACGTGGCACTTTTTCTTCTCCTATTATATATAGATAGATATATAGATAGATTGTAAATTAATCACTTAAATTTCAAAAACTTATCCGTTTGGATATTGATTTGGATAACTATCCTTTTCAAAAAAATTCAAAAATGAAGTAAAAAAAAGAGACCAAAGATGGAAGTTACGTAATTTTTTATTGTATTAATTTTTTTTGTAAACTCGTCTTTTTTTAGTGTTAACAAATTTTATTTTATTCTCAGATTTTAAATTAATATTAATAATTCATAAATTTTGCATATTTCCTTAAAAGAACTGTAGATTATTTGTTTTTATAAATTACCCACGTGGGAGATGCCTTTTTCATTTTCTTTTTAAAATGTTTATTTTTTAAATTTAATAATTGTTGATTTTTTTATTTTTTTAAATTGACTTTTTAAATACTGAATTTTTGAGCATTAATTGTGGCGCTAACATGTGGCATTTTTTCCTCTCCTATTATATATAGATAGATTTTAAACTATAGCTATTTTCTATAAATAAGTTGCTATTTTGACTAGTTGGATAATTTTTCCACATATTTGAGCAACAATAAAAAGGTTCAAATACAGTCCAATGTGATGCCATATATATTTGGACTTGTTTTTATATATAATTGAAGGATACGTTTGAGACAAAAAATAACATTCAATGCATATATATAGATAGATTAATAAAAGACATTTTTTCATAACATAAATCACAAATATTAGGGCATTTTTTAGACTCCCGACTAAACAATTATTCCCCAAATCTCTTACTTAACAAATTAGAAAAATAAATTTTAACCTATCTGTCCTGCGTTACATTTAAAAAGACGGCTACCTTCATAAATAAACTGAGAAAAATTGAGTCTCTTGACTATATTATAATATCAGTCGTTGTAAATCTTTGATTACTCAGTACAGGTAAGCATTACTACTTGTACTGATCAATGTTGCTCGGATCAACGAGTGTGTGTCGGATCCTTCAAAAATAGTGTATTTTTGAATGATGTGATTCCACCAATACCATAGGTTGTCCAAATCACCTTGTGTTTTGCCGCGGCTGGAATTTGAATTATAGACCTCATGATTTTCAACTCTAGGGCTAGTGGCCCAAAATACTTAGTGGATAATGGACTCGCTCCTCTAGGTTTCTCGACTTTAATATTAGGTTAGGGTTTGAACCTATGTCAGGTTGTGTAAAAATAAAGTGACAGCTTTTTGCTCAAACCCAAAGATTGAGGCTAATGCAAGGAGGAAAATCCTTATATAAGCTTGACACAGATTAGATATTAGGAAGAGTACTAATGAAACCTTTAATGGGCTCGATTTATCGCTAGTGCTAATGGTCTTCTAACCAAAAGATTGTATTGTGTATATAGGTGAAATATCATTTTATTTGTACATATATATATTTGTTGAATTCCTTGCACACTAGATAGCATGAAAATCGTTGCGCCACCACTATAGTCTTCTTCTTTCCTTATGGTCAATTATGAGTCGTTATTTCCTGTCCATGAAATTATATTGCAGACATTAAACTACCAGTTGTTGAAATATATTTGGGTATGATATTGCCTTTATCCCTTATTTTTATTATTTTCAGAGTTGCTGGCAAACTTGTTTTTTTAGACCATGATGAATGCTTGGACATATGGTGTGGATACAATAAGCAATTTGCCTTGTAATGTTCTTGATGGAATTCTAGGGTGCTTGCCTTGGAAAGATGCAGTGAAGACCAGTATCTTGTCAAAAGACTGAAGGTACAAATGGGTAACACGTCAACAACTTGATTTTAATGATGAGTTTTTCGAGTCTTTCAAACAAGATGAAGAAGCCAAGAGAATCATTTACCAAGTCCTATTACTCCATAAAGGATCAATATTAAAGTTTAGACTCCAAGGTCGTAGTTTTACGAGTTGTCCTGATATTGATCATTGGATTCACTTTTTGACGAAGAAAAATGTCCAGGAATTCACCCTTCATATCAACTTCGAAAACAAATATCATTTACCTCATCACCTTTTACATTCCAGCAATTACAGTATTTGGAACTTCAACATTGCTTGTTCCACCCTCCACAAGGTTTCAAAAGGTTTGAGAAGCTTATTAATCTCCGTCTAAAATATGTCACTTTTGTTCCATCAATAATTACAAACCTCATCTCTAAAAGCCCGTTGCTTGAACGATTGAGGTTGTGTTGGTGCACAAACTGACACCCTTGAAATTGATGCCGCTAATCTCAAATTTTTCAAGTTTTATGGAAAATCAAAATCCATTTCCTTCAACAACACTCCTATGCTTGAAAAAGTTATTGTGTGTTTCACTGGATTTTTGACTGATACATCTCCTTTTTGCTCTAATCTTACAAATTTCTTCCATTACACACCTTCACTGCTAGAACTGCATCTATGGGATTCAACATTAGAGGTAACATACATTATTTGTGATATACTAATTATTATCATAACGAATGATGAATCTGATTGACGTAAATTTTGACTTGCTTCTAGTACTTGATCATGGGTGGTGTACCAGAGAGTCCCCCGACTGCTCTGAACAATATCAAATCTCTCAAGTTTTTTACCATGTCTTTGCGAAACGTTAAGGAGGTTTCAGATGTTGTTTACTTGATTACAAGTTGTCCTAAATTACAACATCTTACAATTGAATTTGTAAGCACTCTCTTGTTTTTTTATCATTAATTTGGTTCCTTCATTTGAATTCGCCTAATTAACTGTTTCTTGGAAATTCTTTTAGGACTCTTCGGGGATTAATGTTGAAGGTGTTGTACAATTTCTACGACCCCAATCATTTTTATACGGTGCGTTGAAGCTTCAAAGAGTTCAAGTGAACATGTTTATGAGTCTTGAGATGGAAAGGGAATTTATCAAGTTTATTTTGGCATCTACACCTGTACTTGAGGAGATCTTCTTTTGGAATTTTGTGTATCTCGGTGTTCGTTCGGGTAAACAAATGATCGATGAGATAGAAGAATTCCGCAGAGCATCACCTAATGTTGATTTTATATTTGAAGAAGACGAATAAGAAAACATGGAAGTGCTACGATTTTGCTTACATAGTACTTTTTTTTTTGGTAGCACTTAAGACTATCTGCACCTAAGAGAGTTTCCTACGTATGTATGATGGTTTTTAGTAGTATTATCCTACATACATTATAATGTTGAACATCCTTGAGATTCCCTTGTCAAATAACGCAACAACTCAAGATCTGAAAATTTTGAATTGTGGTCAATGAGGTGGGCTGAGATAAGAACACTAGGTGTCTTTCCATCTGTCTAAGCCTTTGGTGCACAGAGTTGACTTGACATTTGTTGCTTGTGGAAGGTAGATGGAATTAGTCAAGGTGCGTCAAGTTGGCTCAGACACTATAGTTATCCAAAAAAAAAAGAGATTCTAAAATTGTGAGTTGTTAAATTCGTCGGGTCATAATACATTTGCAATATAATTGAGTTGGTAACTCCTATCTCAATAATAATAATAAAATTTTCAAGGGTATTGTTGGACCAAAATCCAAAACGAGGATATTTTTCTTCTATTTCCAATATTTCAACGTTCTTTTTGGTCATTTTTCAATTTTTTTGATATTTTTGTTAAGCACTCAACTTCCGTTATTTTTAAGGTCCAAATATACACATAGATTGCAGATTAATTAAAAGTTAAATGTACTTAGCTGAATATTAGGAGGATCAAAATTGGAATAACATCGTAACTCAAGAACCAAAATTGTTATTTTTACTTTTATAAAACAATGCAGGTGTTAGGGTTATTTGGAAATTTTACATAAATCACAGTGTTAGGAGTTATTACATCATATCCCTACTATTTTCCAAATTACAAAAATTCCTTAAATTTTGTGTTATTCCTTATTGATTTTAAGCATAAGCTTAGTGGATCCACTTAGTTGATGATGTCTTTTACTCCGGCAAGGTATAAGACAGTTCTGGCAGCGTGGACGAGACGATTTATCATCACATAGCTCATAGTGATGGTTGTCGGTTAGAGAATCTCCCAAGTAAGTGTAAAAGAGTTATTATTGAGCAAATTAGAGAGAGGCAATCTGAGAAACAAAAAAAGTGTATCATTCGAGACAAGGAGATGACAATGAACCAATACTTGACTATGAGGGTGCATTGAGAATATGAGGAAATATTTGTGTGCCTAAGGTGGGTGATTTGATTAGATTGATGTTGGAGCATCCAAAATGTACAATGTCTTGAGTCAACATTATTGGTGGTGTGGTATGAAGAAGGGAATAGTTGAGTTTTTGGCCAAGTGTTTGACCTGCCAACAGGTCAAGTGTAAGAACGAGTGACCTGGTGGTATGTCTTAGAGGATGCCCATTTCTACATGGAAGTGGGAGAGTATCACTTTAGATTTTGTGGTGGGGTTGCTTACCACCATGGGTGGTTATGATTCTATTTGTGTGATTGTTGACAGATTGTCTACGGCCGCCCACTTTATTTCGGTCCAGGTGAAGTATAGAGTCGAGGAGTTGGCTCAAGTCTACCTCAATAAGATAGTTCACTTACCTGGGGTACCTATTATATTTTTATTATTTTCGACTGAGGTTCTCTCTTCACGCACTTTTGAAGGGCATTACAACATGGGAAGGGTACTCAATTTGATATGAGTACAACTTTTCACCCTCAGAGAGATGGACGGTCCAAGCAGATGATTCAAGTAATGGAGGACATGCTTCAATCATGTGTGATTGACTTTGGTGACCATTAGGATCAGTATCTACCCTTAGCAAAGTTTGCTAACAACAATAGCTATAATTCTAGCATCCAAATGGCTCCTTTTGAGGCATTTTATGGTAAGGTATGTAGATCTCCGATTAGTCGATTCGATGTCATTTAGGTGAGTACCTTGGATACTAATTTTCTTACAGATGCTATGGAGCAGGTTCGTCTGATTCAGAGTAGCTTTTGACAACCTAGAGTAGGTAGAAGATTTATGCTAATAGGAGAGTTTGAGCATAAGAGTTTATATATGGTGATCATGTATGGCTTAAGATATCACCCTTGAAGGGTGTGATGAGGTTTGGAAAGAAGGGGAAACTTAGCCCTAAGTTCATTGCCTCGTTTGAGATATTGGAGCGGATCGGAGACTTGGCCAATCAATTGGCCTTGCCACCTAGCTTGTCTGATGTTTATCTTGTTTTCATGTCTCTGTGCTTTGAAAGTATGTACCCGATGAGTCCCATGTGATTTCACTAGATTCGGTGATTTCAGATCCAGAATTAACATTGAGGAGGAGCCTATATCTATTTTGGATAGGCAAGTTTGAAATCTAAGGACTAAAGAAATTTCTTCTATGAAAGTTAAATGGAAGCAGCACCCGATCGAGGAGGATACTTGAAAAATGGAGTCTGATATGTGTGTCAGATATCCATAATTTTTCAAAGCTTCAGTTACTCTCCTTTATTTTATGTTCGAGGAGAACATGGTTTTCAATGGTGTATAATGTAATAACCCTGAGGGTCATTTTTGGAAATTCTAGAAAATATTACTGTATTACCCTCCTTGTAGTTACCCCGAGTCAAGTTTGATTAGTTTATGAGGTGAGTTTTGTCACAGGATAAAAAAGTTGAGATTTTTCGGAAGAGTTTTGAAAGTTTTCAAGTTCATATATGTGACTTAGTTAACATCTAGAGCTACGAGTCTATGAATGAAATTTTATCCTACCCATTGACTCTAGAATGAAGAATTTGGTCTAGGGGAGTTTTCGTTTCTAGTTCCTAGGTATTTATGTCGACTCAAATCCGTGAGTTGAGTTATTGAGCGAATTTAGACGAAGGTTTGAATTTGGTCAACATTCAGAGTTCGAATGCTCGAATTGGATTTTCGTCGATTTCGTTGGATTCAGGAGGTAATTTTATGCCTAGGTAAGGTCTTGGTTGAATTTCTGAGGATATTTTAATCTTTTTTATGAAAGTTAGTTAATTGTGGGTTTAACGGGTCCCGAGTCAACGAAACCTCGAATCTCTATTTTGATTGTTCCATTGATTCTGGAACATTGAATTTAGTGGGGTAGTATATTTTGTTTGTGTGCACGAGATTTCAAATGAATCCCGAGGATCTTTTCAGAGAATTTTGTGCCTTAGTGTGTTGTTGTTGCTATTGTTTCTGATGTCTGGTAAAATTAATCATCGCAGATGGGATCTTCTTCCGCGATCGCGTAAGTTATATTTGTTCACTACTAAAAAACTATTGAAAAACGATGGATTACGTCGCTTTTTTTAAATTTTCATTTTTTTAATTTCCAAAATGCGACGCAGTTCGTTGCTTTTCTGGAAATTATTTTTTTGAAAAATCCAGAAAAGCGACGGAATAAAGGACTATGTCCATCGCTTTTCTGGGTTGTAAAAAAAAAAAAAAGCCCAGAATAGAGACAGACAAAACCACCCTGTCCGTCGCTTTTTCTGCAATTTTTTTGACAGAAGAAACTGTCAGTTTCTGGGCATTCTGCTGCCCACCTGCAAATGCAATTCAACTCAATTCAATTCAATTCAGCTCAATCAAACACACAACATTATAAATAAGCTACGTAAAACATAAAACATAAAACAACAAACTTAAATTAACATTCAAAAGTATCTAAATCACAATTTAAAGACTTATAAAGTCTTTCAAAATTCGTTCCAACATTTCAAAAGGTTCATAAAAGAGACCTTAACTGGGGAGTGCGATCTACAAAATCATCATCCTCGTCACTGTCGTCGTCGGTGTCCTCGGCAGGAGAAGATGTAGTAGGTCGACGAGCGAGGTTCAACACTTGTTCTTTGATTTGCTGAACGGTCGCACTCATGCTTTATTGTTCAACTACTCTTCTCCGCTCCGACTCTGTCAGTGCCGATGTTAGTTGTGCTATTTGAGCCGACATAGCAGCAATCTGAACATCGTCAAGTGTCTCGTCTTGACGTGACGATCCAATACCTTGTAAGTTAACTGGAGTCGTCTTACATCGTTTCGAGAACCTAGACCATAGAATCTACCCTTGTGTGTCCCCCCTACCACTTTTTCTGTCCAAATTTTGGGTGGACAGTTTTAGGTGTCATTTGGACCGAACTATCTAGATTCTCAGCGACGTACTGATTAAACTCATTATGCATATTAAATATAAAAATTGACATCAATATATATATACATATCATAAATATATTCACTATTAATATATATTATTCATATTAAATAACTTACAAAAGTTCGTTCAGCCCTTTCTGCCACCCACACATCCGGATCCGACTCATTTTCTTTCTTCTTCACATGAGTCCTCTTGAAAACCTCCAGTTCAATGGGAATGCGCCCCATTTCTTTTTCTTATAAATAAAAATTGAAATTTATAACGATATATATGAATCCGCTAATTATTTATTTAAAAGTTTGAATTAGAACTTGCCATCTCAAATTGTAATTCAAATCCCTTAAAATCCCAAATTCAAACTAGCTAGCTAGTGCTAAAATCCCAAATTCAAACTATTAGTCCTAAAATCTCAAATATGATTCAAACTAGTCCTAAATTCCAAATTCAAACTAGTCTTAAAATCACAAATTCAATGTACTCTAGAATCCAATTATCAAACTAGTGCTAAAATCCCAAATTCAAACTATTAGTCCTAAAATCTCAAATATGATTCAAACTAGTCCTAAATTCCAAATTCAAACTAGTCTTAAAATCACAAATTCAATGTACTCTAGAATCCAATTATCAAACTAGTGCTAAAATCCCAAATTCAAACTATTAGTAGTTCTAAAATCTCAAATATAATTCAAACTAGTCCTAAATTTCAAATTCAAACTAGTCTTAGAATCACAAATTCAAACTAGTCCTAAAATCCCAAAATCAAACTAGTGCTAAAATCCTAAATTCAAACCAGCTAGCTAGTCCTAATCTCAAATTCAAACTATCTAAAATCCGAAAATCAAACTAACTCAAATAATATCCAAATTCAAACAACTTCTTAAATACCCTAATTCAAACTAATCCTACAATCCCAAAATCAAACTAATTAACTCAAGAAA